TGTAAACATGCCATGGAAAGACCGAGACAAGGTAATTCTATTACTACTTTTACTATTACATTCATTATCACTAACATCCCTTCTACTACCACTACTACTACAACTACTACGTCTGCTACAGCTTCTACAACTACTGATATTACTGCTACAAATTGCTACAAAATTTACTACGACCACTTCTATCACCACTTGCTTCAACGAATAACAACATTTAACCCAACTACAATACTACTACCATTGCTACAACCACCATGACTATTACTGCAGACTACTACCACACCGACGCCAACACACCACCACCGACCGACCGGCCCTTGCTACTAGGCACTACCACTGACGAGCCCCTACCACCGCCACCACCACCGCCACCTCTAATGCAAATAACAATAATCATTACACCATTTTATTACGACGATCTTTCTTCCGGCCAGACTGTAACCCGGAGCGATCACAGCCATAAAACCCGGGCATAAACTCGAGGGAGGATCGGGGCGGCTAATCTCCCAGCTGACCCAAGCACGCCAACGGACGCGTCGAGGGGGGAGGGAAGGAGGGAGGGGGAGGGGGAGAGGGGGAGAGGGAGAGAGAGGGAGAGGAGAGAGAGAGAGAGGAGAGAGAGAGAGAGAGAGAGAGAGAGAGAGAGAGAGAGAGAGAGAGAGAGGGGAGATGGAGGAAAGGATGGAGAGAGGGAGGGAGGGAAGGAGAGAGAGCGAGAGAGGAAGGAGGTTACAGACAGATAAATAGAGATGAAGAAAAAGACAGTAATAATAAGTGTACAAGAATGAGGGGGAGAGAGGGGGAGAGAGGGGGAGAGGGAGAGGGAGAACGATGAAGAGATAGAATACGCGCGTGCGGCCGTGCGTTAAGCCGAGATACGGGGCACGAAACGCAGGCAAAATAAACACAGGAACCGAGAGAGAGACAGGAGGAGATAGGGGTGGCGGTGACAGACAGGTGAATGGCCAGCCAGTGACGGAGGGCAGACGCCGTGTCCCCCCCATTCCCCCTTCCACGCCCCCCGTAGACAGGAGTGGGGGGGGGGGTGGAGGAAATGAATTTCGGTATAAACAGGTTTTTACCATTGCTCATCTGTCTCTATTTACGTCTGTCTGTGTGTGTCTCTTTCTCTCTTTCCGCTCCTCTATTCCTATCTTAGTACGTCCGCCTGCCTCTCCTCTCCCTTCCTCCCCTTCTCTCTCTCTCTCTCTCTCTCTCTCTCTCTCTCTCTCTCTCTCTCTCTCTCTCTCTCTCTCTCTCTCTCTCTCTCTCTCTCTCTCCCTCCCTCCCTTATCATCACACCCCATCGTTACCTCCCCCCGCGGGTGATGGGGCAGACAATGGGGCAGGGCACTGAGGGAGTGCAAACAGGTGGGTAGGCGGCGGAGGGGGAGGGGGAGGGGGTGATCCATCAGGGATTGTCAATACCCAGTGCCCGAGTTTTTTTTTCTTGTCTTCTCTTCTCTTTCCTACTTAAAAAAAAATCTTTCTTCCCCTGCCTCCCTTTCCCTCAGTCTATATTCCCACCTCTCTCGCCTTCCCTGTCCCTCGTTCTTCCTTTACTACCTTTTTTCTTCCCCTCCCTCTCTTTCTTTTACCTTCCCTCTCCACTTTTTTCTATTCCTGCTTCTCCATCTCTCTCTCTCTCTCTCTCTCTCTCTCTCTCTCTCTCCATCATTTTCTTTCCTCTCCATTCCTTTGCCTTCTTTCTCTCCTCTCATTTCGCCGCCCCCCCCTCTCTCTCTCTCTCTCTCTCTCTCCATCATTTTCTTTCCTCTCCATTCCTTTGCCTTCTTTCTCTCCTCTCATTTCGCCCTCTCTCTCTCTCTCTCTCTCTCTCTCTCTCTCTCTCTCTCTCTCTCTCTCTCTCTCTCTCTCTCTCTCTCTCTCTCCCAAGCCGCCTCTCCCCCATCCTCCGATACCGAAGACACAATAAGTCCCGATAAACAAGGCGACACATCGAACCACGCGCCCGGCCAATGACCCTACCCCAACACGTGCGCAGTTTAATATATATACACACAGTACAAAGCACACATAACCGTCCACACATCTATTTATAAGACACACACACACGGACTTACACACAGACGCACATAAACACTCATCTATGCATGACACATAGCATTAAACACACAGGAACAGACAGACAGACACATACACACACACACCCTCATCCCCACCCCCTCCCAAACCCCAACTCCCAACACCTATCTCCCTCCCCCCTCCCCCCCACGTACACACACACACACACACACACACACACACACATACATCACGCAACCTCATACATATATATCATCCACTGAACAGTCCAATAAAGATCCGAGGGACCATCTTTTGTGCGACTGAATTTATGCAAATCTGATCTGAGTTGTGACACAGTGGGTATTGGAGATTTGGGACCGGAGTAGGGGGTGGAGGGTGGGGGTGGGGGCTGGGGCGTGGGGGGGATGGGGTTGGGGAAGGGGGAGGGCGAAGGGGGTGGGGTAGGGGAAGGGGCAGTGGTATGGGGAGAAGTTAAAGTAGAGGGGAATGAAGGTAAAAAGGAGAAAGGTTGGGAGAAGGAGGGGAAGAGAAAAAAAAGGCGGGGAGAAAGGACAAGGGAGGTAAGAGAAAAAAGAAGGAAGGAAGAAAAGAAAAGGAGAGAGAGAGAGAGAGAGAGAGAGAGAGAGAGAGAGAGAGAGAGAGAGAGAGAGAGAGAGAGAGAGAGAGAGAGAGAGAGAGAGTGAGAGAGGATAGGGATGGAGAAGGCAACAGAAGGTAAGTTGATAATGTGAAGGAAAGAAAAGAGAAACGGAGCAAGGGGAAAAGGGCGAAGCATGGAGAGAGGGAGGAGGGGATGGAGGAGGAAGAGAAGGAGGAAGAGAAGGAGGAAGAGAATAACAAGGATGAAGAACAGGATAAGGATGCAGAGGAAGGAGAAGAGAGACTAAGGACAGAGGGATGATGGCACAATTCAGAACAATGAGACGGTTTCTGGATACTGAAACTGTAAGAAATTGGCGGCTACAATAATAATAATAATAATAATAATAATAATAATAATGATGATAATGATAGTAATAATAATAATGATAAGAGGAAGAGGAAGAAGAAAATGAAGAACAAGAAAAAAAAAACAATAAAAATGATACTCCGCCCCCTCCCACCCCGAAAAACAGAGAAATGCAATGAAAATCGGGAAGGAGAAAATACAAAATAAAGAGTAGAGAAGAAAAGGAAAAAATCCCCCTCAACCTTGCATTATTTTTTGCTTTCCTTCTAAGTGCCTTTCCTGCGGTATTCGGTTACGTACCAGGAACCTTTTTAGAGATGGGCCTATACTTGAGTCCGTGAACATCATAAACATGAATATACCGAAAAAATATAAATATTAATAAAGTAAGCAAGCACGCACGCGCGCCCTCATACTGTCATACTCTCATTCTCTATGTGTGAGTGTGAGTGTGTGTGAGTGTGAGTGTGAGTGTGAGAGTGTGTGTGTGTGCGCGTGTTTATATATATATATGTATATATATAATAAATATATATATAAATAATAAATATATTTATAATAAATAAATAAATATCTATCTCTATATATACATACACACATATATATACACATATACATACATATGTATGTAGTATACACACACACACACACACACACACACACACACACACACACACACACACACACACACACACGCCAGTCATCTTCCTAACCAAACAGCGTCAGCCTGCCCTCCTCCCGAGTCCCGCAGCAGGCAAGCTCGACACACGCACACACTTAAACGCCTTCACAGTGTCTTGCGCTGTAATTTTCGTGCTGACGAGTGCAAGCAGGAGTGACAGTTAAGCTTGTTATGTTTTATCTATTTTCTCTTATCATCATCTGTATTCCTTGTTCTTTGTTGTGCTTTCTCTCGCTCCTTGTTTTTGTCAGCTCTATTTTCTTCGATATTCATAAAACTGGATGTGTCCAGCGTGACATTCTTTCGTCTGTTCTCAGAAGCGGTGTATTCTCTCTCTCTCTCTCTCTCTCTCTCTCTCTCTCTCTCTCTCTCTCTCTCTCTCTCTCTCTCTCTCTCTCTCTCTCTCTCTCTCTCTCTCTCTCTCTCTCTCTCTCTCTCTCTCTCTCTCTCTCTCTCTCTCTGAGTGAATGTGAGCGAGGGTGTGTGTGAATGTGCGTGTATATGTGTGTGCATCTTGTGCACAAACGCAGTCACTTGTACTATACATGGGCGCGAACTTGCGTAAACCTATGTCTACATGAACACGAACGCACACATATGTACACGCCTCTGCCCCGCCGTTGTACCTCTACAAACGCGAGTGTGTGCGTGGGCGTGTGTACATAATCCACACGGTGCGCTGATGTTGACGACATTAACGCGGAAAGAGTAAGAGGGAGAAACAAAAGTGACACAAAAGACCAAAAAGAAGCTATTCTTTGTCTCCTTCCCCTCCAATTTACTAAACCCTTTTTCATCACTTTTTTTTCTTTTCTTTTCGCGTAATTTCGTCTTTGTCGACGATTAAGGAGAAAGAAAGAGAAAGGTAGAGAGAGAGAAAGGAAACGAGGGGTGCATGAATAGGAGGGGAGGGAGGGAGAGATAATGAAAGGAAGCGAGGGGGGAAGGGAGGGAAGATGATAAAAAGAGGAGAAGAGAAAAAGGGAGAGAGAGGGAGAGGGAGAGGGAGACAGAGGAATGTAAAAGGTACAAATATATAAATACAGGTAGACACTGATAAATGGAGGTAGACAAACAGGCACACGAAAAAAATAGACGAAGACGAACTTAAATAAAACAGAGAATATATAGACAAAGAAAGCACCACAATGTTAACCATCAACGAACAAACAAACAAACAAACAACTACAACCACCAACGAACAAACAAACCACCGTCGACCCAAGAAACAAACACAACCAACCAACGAACAAACAAACAATCACAACCACACAACCACCGTCGACCCCACAAACAAACAAACAAGCAAGCAAATCCACAGACCTGGCGTGGGCGGCGCGGGCGACTCGACATCGACGATAAGCGAGCCGTCGTTGCTGGCGTCGTCCAAGAGCAGGCTCGTCGTCACGGACAC